ACTGACTTACCAGAGAACTGAGTTCATTACTGTCATAACTTGTTTTGTATCTGCGATTACTGTGGAATGATAAACTGATTGTTGTATGATTAATCTATCTTTACTTTCGCAACGTCTTCAATGTTCAGGTAAACTTAAATAACAGAACATTGTTGTTGATAAGCGCCTTCGACGTCTTATGGTCCTTTCTAGCTAGAATTCTGTGAAATACTTGATATCACAAATTACAAAGTGAAATAAATTAAAAAGCATTTCAAATTTTTAGGTGTTTGAATTTTGAATCCTACTAACTCAGAGTATGGAACAGTGAATTGATTTGCTGATTTTGAAATATCTTATGTCCTAAAAACCATGGTACTTTTAGACTGCTTGCAGCTGAAGAGAATTCTAGAAATAAAACGATATCATTTTATTCCACAAATTTAATTTTTCTTGCTTTACTCAAACTACACATTATGGGTCTGCATATATTCTTGAGTATTATTTTATTCCTTGGTATCGTGTAGTGGAGAATGTCAGGTTTTCAGTACAAGACGTTAAATCCTCTTTTTATACAGATTAAAACGAATAAACTTCTTGAAAAAAACCTTCATAATTTGTTTTAAGTGTTTATGACTTTCTGTACACTGAAGCTGATGGCAGCTGTTATCACAAGATTAGTTTAAGATAATTCATTAAAAAATTTCATTTTGCAATTTCTCCAGTTATATCTTTTATGAGGCTAGAGTAGAAAATGTGCGAAGTTACTTACATCTGCTTCACTATTTTTAACTGTTTTTTCATCACAAGCTTTTCATTATATTACTTAGGATCATCATTCATGTGTTTACAACTCCTATAAATGCTTGGTTAACTTAATTAATTACACTACTTTTTATCTTTTATCCTTTTCGTCCTAAACATAAGCCCTAAAATTAAGTAAAGCTACAAGTAGGATCACTTGATGCATCCAGAAAAACCTACTGATGAAATACGAAAACTTCACTACAATTCGTATGATTCCAGTCAGCTTGCAGAGTAAATTAGATATGAGAAGAAGAATTCCAACCCTTACACCGTTAGGCTGTTGGTTGTTTTGTGTGAAATTCAGTTGCCTGGTATTCTTGAGCGGTTTCTCTCTTGCTTTGGTAGTTAGCTTCGACCATGCGGCATGAGGTAATCTTTACCGTTGAATTAAATGGGTCCACTAAGTACTTGTTTCGCTTTATAAGTGACAGAAACACGTTTTTCACTTTTCCTCACTGCCAGAATGATTAACACTTGGAGTTTGAAATGAAAGCAAGAAGTGACTATAATTCTTTTGATCAGTCCATTTGTAATTCCTTGCTTGAAATATTCCAGATAATATCATTCAGCTAATCAGCAAACTTTTTTAATGGAAAAGCGATCGACCTTTATCTTAAAGGAATAAAACAATATAGCCGGATAACTTATGTTAGAATAAACGTTATAAATAAAGATCGATGTATACAAATGCAATTTGCTTCATATGCAGAACCTCTGCTTTCTGGTAGACTACATAAAGCGACGGGATTAGTAACAAATTTAATCAAGGATAGTTTTAGTCTTTGAGACAACACGACTCAATAGAGAAAAGAATAACTAACATCCACAGACTAAATCAAACTGTGAAGTTACAGCCAATTTGCATTGTACACTGGTCACTTTGAAATAGAGAAGAATATTTGTAGCACAAGTGGGAGATCTTGGTTGTATTGTGTTTTCTGAGCTGATATGTTTATTCCTGGAGCTTTCACCGTATTTCTAAACAACATCATCAGTACCAACTTTCGAATGAAGTGAATGTCAGTATCTCTCCATGAGTGAATCAGTAGCCGTTCCTGACGAAGAGGTTTCTGATTGGTTGTTTCCCTTGATTACCTTGTCACTCACTGAATAGATTTTCTTGTTTCTCAGCTTGATCTCTGACTTTTTTGTTGTTTATCACTTTCCTTATTGATTGATAAATTGGGTCTATGTCTATACATCCAGTGATTGTTTAGTGACCTTAATATCTCGCTCTCAGGAATTCCCTGGTATTTTTGTGTTTCCTCTGTCCAAGCGTGTTAACTTGTCAGAGTTTAATTCTTTTCCACAGTTGTTCATGTGAACTGAAAGGCCTAAAGAAATGCCGTGACGTTTAACAGCCGATTGGTGTTAATGTAAACAGAGGCGAATCGGGTGACCACTTTGTCCAATGTAATGTTGATCACAACTACTACAGTTGATTTATGAAAATGATTTTTGGTTTTTCTTCTTTGACTGTTGTGTTCCTTGGACTGCATGATATAGTCTAAAAAGAATTTGGTTGTTTATAGGCCATATTAAATCCAAGTGGTCTCAGTAATCGTGCTGGGATCTCTGATGTCTTCTTTAAGTACAATAAGATGATCCGTTCGTTGATTGCTGTCGATGACTTTGCAGTTGATTATGCACGGGATAGATATTTTTTGATAGTTTCGTGGGGATCCGTTCTTCTTATAGGACAGACATTAAGTAATTTTCTTCGTTTGTCCGCGAATTTGTTGTACTGTAGTGTGTTCTCGCTCTTTTGAATATGGTCTGCACGCAACTAATTTTGTGAGCTCTTTGATTCTTGCTACTTAATTTGAGGATTGGATCAGGATGCGTTGACTTCCCATACATTCGAATTTCTAGCGTTCCAGCATTATTTCTACTGATCAAAACATACAGTAAAAGCAGATACTTGTTTGACTCCTACTACATTATGACTTTGACGTCACTGAAAACGTTATTGAACTAACTGTGAGTGCTTCCTAAATTATCTCCCTAATGATAAAAAAAGTGTCATCTACAATATTTATTTTTCCCTTGGGTTTCTAGTGGAACATAGGGCTTCAATAGCACGTCTCCATTCCACTCTGTTCTCTGAAGTCTTTTGAACCTGGCACTAAGACTGCCCACAAGATTTCATTTCTTTCTCACACGATCTCCATGTCACCCTCACCTCGGACGCCCAACTCGTCCTTCCCTTTTGGGTTTCACTGGAGAGCCTGGCCTGAAGCATGATGTCCCCGGTCGGCCTTCTCAGTGTATGCACAATTCAAACAATCTCCATTACCTCCTGCATATTTGTTGGGCGATGGGTCCTTGGTTGCTTTTTAGCAGGCCAGAGTTTCTGGTTGCTTATTCTTTCTGGCCATCTGATCTGATCTTTAGTATCGAGCATCGGCAGTTGTTGAGGAATGTCTATAGTTTGCTGGAAGTGCTTTTCGTGACACGCCAAGTTTCTGAACCATCACAAAGAAGCACTGATGTGACTGTTATTAGTGTTGGAAATCTGGATCTTATTCGAGCTCCATGTTGAGTGCAGTATATCTCCACACTGATTTCAGATTAATGAAGGCCTGTCTTGCTTTTCTGATCCTGGCTTTGACGTCCTCGTCTGTGCCTCTTGTCATCTATATACCGGATCCAAATTTCGATTTGATCACACTAAACGTGAATACTTTTCTAACTATTTCAAAAAATACGCTAGATGTGACTTTCTATCATTATGAATTTGGCGGTTTTATCATGTACTTTAGTCCACCATATTGGTCACTAAACAAACTGCAAATGAAGAGAACTCTATCGACGGTTAGTTTTATGATATATCTGTCTACTTAGAAATATTTTAAAGCAAGCATTGCATTTATGAGTGACAATAGTAAGAATGTATTTTACCAGACGGCTATCAAAGACATCATCAAATAACCTGTAGGGTTACAACATCTAATAAAGCCATTTCGACCTCTTCAATGTAAACGCATAATTTGTGCAAACATCCGATCAAATATTTGCATGCTTTGCTAAAAGCACCATATGTATAGCATGTTTGAACTATTGTTTAGTATTCCAAATTCCTATTAAAAATAAGTCGTGACAAACTCAGTTTAAGCACTGATCGAGAGTTTATCTTATTGAACACTTGCTTCTTCAGCGCTCTTCAGTGAGAAAAATCACTACTTCCATATATTTCTGACTTAACCTTGACTTAACCGGAATTATATGGGTTGTTTGAAAAGAATTATTAGCTAAGCTCGGCCTATGAGGCTTAACATCAATAAAAAGCAACTTCTGTCGAAAATCACTACATCTAGCTTTGATTAGCTGCTTAGTTCTCATTTTTATAATATCTACAATACTTATCGACTCACTGTTATTTGAAAAAGTCTGGAAAAAGCTGCTACACTGAAAGAAAATATATTTCTTGAGCTATTTTTTCACTGTTTTGTAAAAATGTTCAAAAGCAAAACCTCTACCTTTGGGAGTGCATTTTGAGTGTTGTTTAGAAGCACTTCTTTTTTCTACTGATCTCGTACAATTTCATAGGTAAAACCGGAGATAACGAACGATGAATTCTAAAAGAAAATTAGATATCGTTCATCTCAAAAATCTGGCAAAGAGAAATTATTCATCTTATCTCCATCTAACTGCCTACCAATTATTCAAACAAAATATATCCAATGTACCATTCATAACATATGTTTTTAACTATTCTCCACCTAAATTAGACACCAAATATATCCATTTTACGATCATTTGAAACATGTGACCGAGTTACAAAAGTAAAAATGGAATTTTGGGCAAGAAGTTTAAAAGAAATACTTCTTTGGTTTCGTTAGAATTTTTGAAAACATCATCGTCTCACTGTCAAATTAGATAGATCCGCTGCCAATTCTGTTAGAATAAAAAAAAAGATGGTAACTCTTTTCGTCTCAAAAATATGAATCACCCTACTGAATGCATCTATCTTTGTGAGTTCATGTGAGCCAACCAGTGTTTTAATTGGGTAGGGAATTTGATTGGCTGCACGTTTAAATTTACTCTGTAATTGGTTGGTTGAAATACCCCATCCTGATTGGTTGATCAGTAAAATGACCTTGAAAATGAACACTACTTATCATTTAAGAAGTGTTCATTAGAAAGAATAAGAAGATAATTATGGTCGTCTCATTTCCTTACCTGAGAAACATTTTTAAGAACATGGTAAAAAGATGAGTAATCCTCCTCAAATTCTTATTGAACCGATTGTTACAGAAAAGGATATATCAGAATTCAATGAAAACCCGGAAGACACTAAATCATTAACTGTACCATTTTCCAAATTTCTGATTGATGTTGGTAGTGATGAAGACGGTAACGTCAATGATAATGGGGAGAATAACAAATGCCTCAATTTGAATTTGTATCAAAATCATGTCAGTAGCACAGATGATTCAGTCTGCTTTGGACAGTCTGTAATTGGGAAAATATTAATCTCATCAGTAAATAGAAATACTTCAGGCAACGACCAACAAATAGTATGGGTACAAATTTATCATAAATCTAGTTCACTTTCATCAAAATTAAATTCACAAAATGTAGACATCCCATCATTCGTTGTTTTATTGAAGTCAAAAACAGATCCACAAAACTCGGAATACATTCCTGACTACTGTTCTCCCCCTTACCTGCGTCTCAATTTAAGGCACATACTATCACGTGAAGTTGATGAACGGCGCTTCCAAATTCATACAAGATGTGGAGAAGGTATAACTCTACATGCGGAAATAGCTGATGAGCATTCTGTACACTTCTGGCTGTCCATTTTTAACCAAAACGCATTATGCACAAACCATTTCGAGCCTTTACGTTCGAAAGAAATGAAACCTCATTCAGCTCCGAATTCACCGAGACGTACAAGACGAGGTATTAATTCAGCAGTGAATAGTAGCAGTTATGCTACGGATGAAAATAAAAGTAATCTAAACACAAAGGTCGGAAATTCAATTTCACGTGTATGTGTATTTGAAACATTGAGTGAAGCACAAGAAATTGAAAATGAGGTGTGATCCAAAGTGATAATTCTGACTTTGCACAGTATTCATTGTTGTAGTAATAATATTCATGATAATACTTCATTTTAATCGTTTATCTAACAGTCATGTTCCCTAATGTTTTGATTTGTGATAATATTTTATTAAACTTTTAAAGATGAACATTAAATGAATAACTAACCTCTGTATGCATAACGAGAAAACAACATTCCTTGTAAAGTTCCACTATTAAATTTTGTATTAGTAAAGTAACAGTTTTGGCAGGCTTTTGAATTACAATATGATGAGAACAATCTAACTTGATTTACACCGAATATATTCACTATGTGCTCCATCTTGTCTTCTTCTTCCCAGTATTATTCAACCATCCTTTATTGTCAGAAAGTTATAGGTCTAAGTCTAGGTTGGTGAAATGTGAGGATCACATTTTAAACCTTAGGTTAGTATTTTTTACGTGTGTCAAATAATAATTTATACACATGTGTTTACTTATTACAATACACACAAATCAATTGTGAATAGGCTGAAGCATTATTTTGCTCCGATCTCAATATCTATAAATATGGCTCCTGAATGCAGTAGACAAAAAGCTCAAAATTTATTTAGTGGCATATTCTAGCCTGGCCTAGTGGGTCACGCTTTTGCGTTTATGACAATGGATACTGGATTCGGTTCTCAGTAGGGACAAAATCACTCACTGGTAGGCAGGTGTGTCCAGCTGACGAGTTTCAAATAGGATAACACTTACTTCCTGGATCCCACTGCTAGCCACCGAGCAGATAACAACATAGTAATGAATCGATCAGTATCGAAACATTCATATAAGAACCCATGTACTAAAAGATACCGAGCGACTAGACCCAGTGTGACAATGGAAGATTACGACTGTCAAACAACGAGATTCGTTTCGTTTGTGCAATATTCTGAGAAAAACGATCTTAGAAGCGATGCAACTGTGAACGTGGATTTTTATTCAGCTAGCTTGCTGCTTACTGACTGTAGCATTGCATCATGAATAACGAATATAAGACGCTTTTCATTTTTGCTGTAGATGAGATGCAATTATCTTCCGCGTAGTGGGAATAAATATCATAAGAAGTTTCTTTAAAGAAAAAAAGATCTGGAGATTTTATCACTCATTTAATTACCAATTTACCTGAAACCTTGTTTGTGCCTGATTAAAATGTTAAAGGTTTTGAGTTTAGTTGTATACTTCGGTATAACTTAATTTAATTGCTTTATTTGGTTGCAAGGGTGAATAAGCTGACATGATTTGCACTTAAGGGTACTAGAAAAGCTGGATTTGTGATAAAAGTCAAAGATTAATCAAAATCACATGGACAATTCTCAAACTATTTAAAGTAATTCGAAGAAGCTATGCTTTAGAATGGGTTTTACAATAAGAAACTAATTTATATTTGCTTGTAACAGTACCGTAGAAACTGATTAACGTCCTCGTATTTACGTAACCTAGATTAAAAATATTCGGTTATGCAGTAAAATTAATAACTCAGTAATTATCAGGATATTTAGTTTACCTTACAATGCATGCTGACTGCAGTTTATCAAAAAGTGCGCTAGTTGTGCAACATCAAAACTTATTCAATGTTCAACGCTGCAAAAAACAACTCTAAAGCGTTGAACTAAGTTATATATGAAAAACTGAGGAAAAAGTGTTACCAAAATGTTGGAAGAAGGGATTAAGTAGAGCGTAAAACTTGGATATGCTTATAATTTTTTTGATGGTAACATCAAAAGGCATACAGATTTTACAGAGAAAATAACTGCTATCTCATGTAAACTACTTGGTGTTTTATGCCCAACACTGAAGGCAGTATTCAGTGAATCAAAACATTTTAGAAATTGTATTAATCCATCGTTCCACAGCTAACTATAGAATAACTCTGGACGCATACCGCATACCGAATCCATAAAAAAAGATACTTATTTCCCGACTGCCTTTTGAAGTGACTTATTTCTCAGCAGGTAAACAAAATAGAGAAACCAAGAGCTGTTAGGTGACAAAATAATGAAATACTTTTAAGTAGACAACCATATACGGTTGTTGAAAGCCGTTATTTTGATCAAATTATAAACTTAGAGAAATGCTTATTTTACAGAATGGAATATAATATTAAATTACTTTGTCGGCATATTTTACTTGATAAACTGTAATCGCTTAAAAAAAGTATTTAAAGATTTAAGTATTTCAGCTGTTGCACTTTGTTTTGAATTAGATCCACTGATTGAAACAAACTGAGATATCTTGTCATTTATATGGTTTTCTGTGCTAACGTTTTTCTTACCTTGTCATGTCCGTGATCGAATTAGTTGACTAACTAACAAAAATACTCATTATCTGAATTCACTCTCATGTGGTTTTCAATGAAAATTGCCATATGACTTGCATACACATCCAAGGCCATGCAAAAATCAATCAACATAATCTAACATCTACGTCATTTGTTTGAAATCTGGATGGCGTTTTGCCATATAGACCATTTTAAATTTAACATTCCCTGTTGAGTATATTTGCTTGAAATCATCCAATAAAGTAGTAAAAATGGAAAAATTGATAGTTAACAACTCATAAGAGCCTTAAACTCATAGATGAAACCTGTACAAGTTTTCATAGCTCAAACGACTGGGTGAAATAAAGCCAAACCGCATCATCAATATACATTATAAAATGGAAAATATTCTATAGATAGAACGTAATTTTGGCAAAATCCTTTTTAATATGCACAGTCATATGATAATGTTGACAATAAAAAAGAAAACCTAGTGAACAATCTTTACATAGATCAAAAAGATCTGTAAGAAGAGATGAAAACTTACATGTGTGGAGCTAGCGAGTAGGTTCACTTAATAATAGTGATCAAAGTGGATCCTTTAAAAGATTATAAAACAGACTGATGAGGTTAATAGAAACGTTTAGCTGAGGAAAGGTGTATAATATTGGTAAAAGTTTAAAAAAATGTTCTTGTTGACTTAAATGGTAATGTTGACTGCGTTCACAGTAAGTCCAGTATCTTTTCAAATTCATAGTTCTCACTCTAATATCATAGATTGGCTTAGTTTCCATAGTTTGAAAAACTTTTGTGTGTTCGCTTTGGATGAGATACACATGAACTTAATATATATCGATTAGTTTTGCTTTTTGGCACACCAAATAGTCAGAAACGAATGAATACTCCAAAACAGAACTGTAAAATTTTGCTTCTTTCCTCTGTTGTAAAACTACTAAGGTAACTGTTCAGAAAAACAAGTTCGAGAGGCGTATACTAAGTTTAGTAAATGTAATATAATACACCAGAGAAAATTAAAAAATGACATCATAATGGAATGAAAAAACAACGGTTTACCTTTGAGCCATATACTGAGCTGCACCAGTAAATCTTGATCTAGTTACATCGAAAGCCGTTTCAAGTAAAATAAAATGGAGGAATATTTATTGAGTTTCCAGTTCATGAGGAGTAGATCCTTATAAGCCAAAAAAGTAGTCCTTAGAATAAGACGATGTGCATACTTTTTTAGAAATAAAAATACTTACCAGAATGCTGAGCTCGTTTTCCGTACTACTGAAGACGTGATAGATCCTTAAATACCAGCAGCTAATAACCACTTTTCTGTAAATAGATCTTTCAACTATTTTATTATTTCACTTTGTTAGTCATATATTTGAAAATGATATCTCTGGATTAAATTTTCTTGTCCAGTTTGAAACTGATTGTTTGATGACTTTCAATGAAAACAAAGTTTTTGTCATAATAATTTTTGAAATATTCCTCCTTGCTGTTATATGCATTCGTTATTTAAACGGGTAAACATGGTTAGTAGGTTAAATCATTGAGAATGTTCATGTAACGTTTTTCTGTCCTATGAATTAATGAGTACTTTCAAACTGCTAAAACATGTTTTTATCACTAATTACTGTCCCGTAAGTTTGAAAGAAACATTTTTATTTCAGCATTTATACATACACATTAGCGGCTGTAATTGAATATATGACTTTCAGAATAGATGAGCGATTCAGTTTCTATATACCTAAACCTAAATTCGAAAGAGGTCTATTTCCAACTGAAATGCAAGTCAACAGAATGGAGTTATACATGGTTCAGTTGAATGTATAAGGGATGCTTCAAGTTGTTATTCATCGAAGACTGACATCAGTTGGAGGAACAAAGGAAACCTGGGAGCACTGGACAGCTGTTTCGTCCTAGTATGGGACTCCTCAGCAGTGCGCACCCACAACCCCACCAGCAGGGTGGCTGAATGGTTAACGCGTTCGCCGCGAAACCTGAAGGTCCTGAGTTCGACCCCTAGCTGGGTCGTGGGTGCGCACTGCTGAGGAGTCCCATACTAGGACGAAACAGCTGTCCAGTGCTCCCAGGTTTCCTTTGTTCCTCCAACTGATGTCAGTCTTCGATGAATAACAACTTGAAATATTTCCAAATCTCCACAACCCCCTCAAAAAAAAAAGTATAAGGGATGCATTCGTTTTCAACAAGGGCATTACAATTTATATTATATGAATAGTCCTTGTTATTCATCTTTTCTTCCTCTAAACAATACATTCTGAGTAATTTCATGTTCTTGAAGTGTAGCACTTGTAGGTAATTCAATTCTAAAATGCTATTGAGTGGTTGCTTTTGCAGCTACTTTGCTCATCAGCACAAAGGGTTCCAACGAAACAACAATACATAAGGACTTACAACGTAGTCGACACATGTTGACCTACAAATTTTGTTGAGTGTGGAATTAAGTAGGACTCCGTAATCTTTGAGAACTGAAGACTATGTGTGCTTCCATCTCTATGAAAGGTTATCATTCACTGTTTCCTCATAATGATCCTGAAATTTTCATTTACAGATATGAACAATAACAGAATTAACGTGCTTATCCAACAAGAATTCTTAGATTTCTTTCAATCTGCTTTTTCATGCTGAACAATTGTGGAGTGACTTACGACAGATAGTCATCAAAGTTGAGGAATGTTCATCCCATTCTTAGCC